CTGAGGGGAGAGGGAAGAGGAGAGTGAGGGGAAGGTGGTGAGTGAGGGGGAGTTAGAGAGTGAGGGAAGGGTGGGGAAATGTGGCAGTGAGGGGAGAGTGGGAAAGGGAAAGGGAAGGGACAATAGTGGAGAGGGGAAGTGAGGGGCGGAGGGTGAGGGGAGACTGGCATCAGGTAAGCTCTGAGAGGGAGGCAGGGCTAGATCATGGGGGCTTAATACCCATGCCCATTGCCCCATACCCATTGCCATCAGTTGATATGGGCTCATAGCGACCCTGTAGGGCAGAGTAGAACTACCCCATAGGGTTTCCAAGGCTGTAATATTTACAGAAGCAGAGTGCCACATCTTTCTCCCATGGAGCGGCTGGTGAGTTTGAACCATCGACCTTTTGGTTAGCAGCCATATCCTTAATCACTGTACCACCAGGGCTTCTTGGGGGCCTAATGGGCCTTGGTAATGAGCTTGGGTTTGATCCTAGGGTTTATTGGAGTGTTTCAAGCAAGGTGATCCAGGTGTTCTGATTTACATTTTTAAAGCTCAGTCTGGCTGCTTGTTGGAGAATGGATTGTGGTGGGCCAGGCGTGGAACCAGGAAACCAGTTTGGGAGTTTCTGTAGAGGTCTAGGTAAGATAGATGGTGGTGGCTGGGCTAAAGTAGTAGTAGCTGAAGTGGAGAGAAGTGAATAGATTGGAGATTTATTTGGGAATTTGAGCCGTCCTATGTTGTTGGTGGATTGGAGAAAAGAGAGCAATCAAAGACCACTCCTGCGTCACTAGTGAGATGCCAGTGCTTTATTCTGTGTTTTCCAAACAACTATGTTTATAAATAATTTTGGAGAAGAGCAGTTTCTCAAACTGTAAGGCCTCAAATTCCAAAGTAATTAACATGGGTGTCTCATTGCCTCAGAGAATACAGCGCAGCACCGAAACTGTCCAAGACCTTACAAACAGGAACATCTCTGACTTCTTGGTAAAGACGTATCCTGCTCTTATACGAAGTAGGTAAGAAGACACCCTTTTATACTTTTCATCCTGGCTCCCTGTAGAAAACATTGACTAGGGACAGAAGATAATTTAGTTTCATGATTTACCTATGACCAGGGCAGTGGACTTTTTTGTTTAATTTGAGGGCCTCATCCAACAGAAAAAGCAATTGAGTTATACAAAAGTAAAATGCAACTTAAGATTAATTTGTTTAAGTCAAGCAGTCTCAAAGTTTAACCCATGCATTATTAA